TTGTTTAGGTGTAAATTAAAAGTGTGTCCTTTGTCCATGAGACAAAATTAAAATTAGATAGGAGGAATAAGTTCAAGAGATCAATTATACAGCATGGTGACTGTAGTTGATGATGATGATAATATGTTGTATTCTCGAAAAACACTGAAAGACTGGTTGTTAAGTGATCTCACCACAAAAATAACTATGTGAGGTGATGCCCATGTTAATTAGCTAGTTTTAGTCATTCCACAATTCATATATAATTAAAAACATCATGTTATACATGACAAATAATACTATTTTATCTGTCAATTAAAAAATAAATTTGAGGCTGGGCGCAGTGGCTCATGCCTGTAGTCCCAGCTACTCGAGAGGCTAAGACAGGAAGATCACTTGAGCCCAGGAGTTTGAGATTGCTGTGAGCTGGGTTGATGCCACAGCACTCTACTCAGGGCAACAGAGTGAGACTCTGTCTCAAAAATAAATAAATAATTTGAAAAAAGTGTTTATGTACAGATATAACAACTGTTTTATGAGAAACTATGTAAATGCTAGTCTAAAAAGAATTTATATTGCAGTTTTTCCTGAAAACCAAGTAAATGATTTAACAAGGCATTGCACTTTAGCACATATTTCTAAGTTGTGAATTTGCACATAAGGTTGATTTTGGTACTCCTCTGTCTGGTAATGATTAATGTAGCCTAAATTTGCCCAGAACATCTCATCTGCAAATGTCCTCAAGTGTCTTTTCCTTCACACTTAACCAGTCATGACACTTAACCAGTCATGTGTGTGTATAAAATCTCTTTGCATATCTTCTCTAAGATGAAAAACAAAAATCAAGATGATAAAATATCTTTGAAAAATTAAAGTAATCCATTGGGTTAAGTTTTAATGTCTCAGATGAAATTAAGTAGAATAAACATGTTAACATCTGAAGTATACCTTTTGTAACAGCCTTGAAGAGATCCAGTGGTCTTATTAGGATTTCATATATAATAGAAAATTATTAAGAAACAATACCAACAATTAATCAAAATAAATCCAATTAAATTTTCTTTATTATTATGTTTTAAAATTTTAGGATATCGTGGTGTACAATACTGTTATTATTCTAGTGGTGCATTAAAAGGTACAGTAATAGGCCCTTTAAAGTGCATTAAAGTGCAAGATGATTTTCAGCATGGTGAGATTGAAGTTAAGTACCCAAGTTAGGAGATTAAATGCATTATGAAGATTAAATACATTAGTATATGTATAATTTTTGTTCATAAGTTTTATGCATTATTACTCTGCATAGCTTTAGAAAAATCTTTTCAAAAGCCTCCTTAGCATGCTCTCTGCTGCCCTCTGCTGCTAATTTTCAGAAACTAATTTTGATTCTGAGTAATGCTAACTTAACTTATCTCACGCAATGTTAAAGTTTGACAGTACTCTAGAGATAATTTAGTGCCACATTCTCAATTTATAGATGAGAAGTTGAATCTCTGAGAGGTTAAGCAACATGAACTTTGGCTCTGTTTTCTGACTGCTGGTGTTAGAATGCTTGGTGACTTTGGCACATTACTCAATTTTGTCATCTATAAAATGAGACTAACAGCACCTACATCTTAGACTTCTTTGTGAAGATTAATTGAATTAGTATGTAAAAAGTGTTTAGAATGGTATCTAGTTTGTAACTAGTACTATGGTAGCTATTTTATAGACTTGGCAATAACTAGACTAAAACCACAGCTAGTAACAAGATCAGAACTAGAATTCTGGATTCTTAACTACTAGGTCTCTCTCTCTCTCTCTCTCTCTCTCTCTCTCTCCTAACTCTCTCTCTCTCATTTATATATATGTATCTATATACATATACATATATATATATCTCCTTAGTGAGTCTTAACACATAACTAAATTTTTTTTTGGTTTTTTATGAGACAGAGTCTCGCTTTGTTGCCCAGGCTAGAGTGAGTGCCATGGCGTCAGCCTAGCTCACAGCAACCTCAAACTCCTGGGCTCAAGCAATCCTGCTGCCTCAGCCTCCTGAGTAGCTGGGACTACAGGCATGCACCACCATGCCCGGCTCATTTTTTCTATATATATTAGTTGGCCAACTAATTTCTTTCTATTTATAGTAGAGACGGGGGTCTCGCTCTTGCTCAGGCTGGTTTTGAACTCCTGACCTTGAGCAATCCACCCACCTCGGCCTCCCAGAGTGCTAGGATTATAGTCATGAGCCACCACACCCGGCCACATAACTAAATTTTATCTTCAAATATAGATTTTTAAGAATGTGACCTGTTCAGTACATTCGAAGCTCTTGTAGTCTTTACAAAGCTATGTGATGCTGCAGTCCTTTGTTGCAGCTCTGTCCTCCTTGTACTGTTCCAGGCGGGCTCCCCACAGCAGTTATCACAAACACTTGCAAGCTCCTCAAGCCCACAATATATTAATAAATTCCTACTACCTACACGTGGAAGATGATTTCACTGTTGATTTTAATTAACTTCTCTAATGAGCTCCCTGCCTGAATCTCCAATGGGCAATTAGACACTTGCACCCAGTCTATCTCATGTAAGGCTCAAGAGGTGCTAAGTGAAACCTGTTCATTGCTTCCTTCCCAGCTCCTCCTCCTCTTCCTTACTGCCCCATTTTGGTCTGGAGCCATTTCTCCACGTACACAGACTCAGAGTTATTTTTGACATCTCAGTCTCCTTCATTTCCATGTCTGGAAGTCTTGGTCGCTCAGACTCATCCTTTCTCTTCCTTTTCTGCTACCTCTCTCCTGGTTCCTGTCCCAGTTGTCTCCGACTGGGATAAATCCAGCAGCCTCCTAATTTGAGTCCATAACTCCAATCCTAGCCTGCTGAAATTCATCTTGCACTTTACTGCTAGATTACATCATACTATGAATCAGTTTCATTACTTGCCAGAGCTTTGTACTGCCTGCAGGGTAAATCGAATGTTCTCAGCCTTACATGTCCCAACTTACCTCCCTGACCTGACCTTACCTCCCACTCTTTCCTCACAGGAATCTTTTCCTTTTGCCAGGGATGTATCTAGTGCTTAACACTATGGTGTATTTTCTGCTTTTTCATCATTGGACCCACCACTTTACTGCTCTGCCTTGAGCTCCACACATCAGAATGGTAGGATTCTGGCTGGGCGCGGTGGCTCATGCCTGTAATCCTAGCACTCTGGGAGGCCGAGGCGGGCGGATTGCTGGAGGTCAGGAGTTCGAAACCAGCCTGAGCAAGAGCGAGATCCCCATCTCTACTATAAATAGAAAGAAATTAATTGGCCAACTAAAATATATATAGAAAAAATTAGCCGGGCATGGTGGTGCATGCTTGTAGTCCCAGCTACTTGGAAGGCTGAGGCAGCAGGATTGCTTGAGCCCAGGAGTTTGAGGTTGCTGTGAGCTAGGCTGATGCCACGGCACTCAGTCTAGCCTGGGCAACAAAGCGAAACTCTGTGTCAAAAAAAAAAAAAAAAAAGAATGGTAGAATTGTCATTACACTAGAATTAAGATACCAACAAACCTCTCAGTAGATGACAAATAGGGAAAAGGATCATTACTGTACTCAAAACAAAATCCTAGACCCTCTTCCTTCATTGTTGTGGAGATTATCTGGTATATTTATAAACCTCATCTTCTTTCATCTGTATAATGAAAGAAGACTCTATTAGGGCTGACTGTTTAATGTGAAGAGAAACAGGTTAAACACTGGGAGATTTGGGGTATGTCTGAATGGGGACAAGGGGTCATAAAGGGGGATTCTGCAAATTGGGACATTTCAGATAAGGTTCTGACGTGAGTATGACTGAGAGACAATGCTTGCACCCCATTTAGACTGGTGCCTGTCACCCGATGAGAATGATGACACAGATCTCCACACTTTTGTTGCCCTTCTCTGTCTGCAATGCTTTCCCTCTTCTCACTGCCTGTTCAAATCCTTCCTGTTCTGTAGGGCCAAATAAAGAGATAACTTGGACACTGTCATCTCTGTCTCTCTCTTCTTCCTTCACCCTTAGAATATGCAAGATCTCTGCATTCCCTATTATCTTAGTGAAGGAAAAAAAAAAAAGAATATGCAAGATCTTTAACCACAAACAGGTGTACAGGAAACACCACCTTCTTTCCCCTACCCCACTTAGTTACTTTAAAATATTTATTTTTAGTTTTTATTTTAATTAAAAATTTAATCACAGCTATACTTGCACATAATTTAGGTCAAAATAATTCTGAGAAGTTTGTGATGAGAAACAGGTGTCCCAGCACCCCTTCTCTAGAAGCAACTATTTTATCTCCTTTAATTACTTAATATATATCACCTTTCTTTAAATCGCATGCTTGTATTGCAATTTTTGATGTTTTCAGTTTGGGGACACATTTATTAATGTGTCACCATGAAGAGGAGGATTTAGGTCTCTTTCTTTCCCTGGCTTTGCCAAGTATATACAACTTTGTCTCCTTTTTCTAACTGTGTGGCATGGCCACCTAGTCTGGACACACAGGCAAATGTCTAGGACAATTTTTATTGGTCTTACAGTACTATACATGACAAAATAGTATTTTACACATACATGATATTTTACATGATAAGTAGCAGTTTATTTTTGTTTACTGACTTTATGGTTACCTGTGGTTATATTGTATTGATAATTTGGTTAGATCCATTTTCAGTGCTTTATATATTATCATGACTATGCCAACGCTATTTAAGCCCAACCATGTAGTAAACCATGGGCTTTTTGTTTGTTTGCTGCACAACTTTTTTAAAAATCATGAATTGGAGTTGATAATTGTCTAGATCTGTGGTATGATTATTTAAATTAAATTAAACATTCAATCACACTAGTCATATTTTAAGTGGCTATTGGCTACCATATTAGCACAGATATTGAACATTTTCATCAACCCAGAAAGTTCTATTGGATAGCACTTTTGTCATCTCAGAGATGACCTAGGAAACCACACTATTAAAACAAAAATATCTTAAAATTTTTTCTTTGAACTATTCACACAGGCATTCTAGACTTCTCCAAATAGAAACAGAAAAAAAGGAAGTTCTATATCATGTCTGTTTCAAAATAGTGAAACCAAAAAGAGTCTCAAGTAAGTGTTCTAGTCCCATTTCTTTACGAAAGATCTAACAGTTTATGCTCTGGGTTTATCATCTTTTGGTACCTTCTTTCCGACACCTCTTGAAGGAGATACAGAAATGAGTTATTTACTCAGATGTTACTCTAGAATTACTGCTATGACAGTGATCAGTGAACTTTAAATTGCAATTATAATTAGCAGTCTTTAATACTTAAAAATTTTATATTATCACCTTCAATATCTTTTAAAGTCTGTGCTGTCCAATAGAGTAATCATGTGACAATTTAAATTAATTTAGATTAAATTAAATTAAAATTTTAATTGCATTGAGCCATATTTCAAGTGGCTATTGCCTACCATTTTGGGCAGCATAGATATAGATCATTCCATCATCCCAGAAAGTTCTATTGGACAGTGCTGGTCTAGATTTTTAATTTGCTTAGCTTTTTCTAACTTACCCCCAAAGTTGATAGTCAATTATATGAATTTTATTTCATGATGGTCAGACTTATTAAGCTCTCTTCAATTTTATCATTAGCTTCAGAAGCCTTGTGATCTGTTCAAATCACCCTGCTTGCCTTTTGAGCTTGTTACACAGCTTTCATCCTGGAATGTCCTTTTACTATCATCCATGGGTAGGACTCCCTCTGACACTTCCTGGGCCTGAAGAGCCTCAGTATTCATCTTCTCTTCCTAGTCCTGGATACCCTTTACATTTAGCCCATACACCCACGATCTGGGCACAGTCCCAGTAAAAAAAACTACCTTTTCATCACCTTTGGGGCCTAGGAGTGTGTGCATGTTCAGTCTCTAAGTCTGCCCTAGTCATGATGGATTTGGAGAAAACCCTGGGCAGACTCTGCAATTGGGTCTGGGCAATTTGAGCAGAGAATTCCGAGGTCCTGAGTACCAGGAATGTGGTTTAGAAGGCAGCAGTATAGAGGCTGGGTGGGTTCTATCTTGTTGGCCTCTAGAACTCCTCATCCTGTTTAGAGAGGTGCAACTGAAGGGGGTGGGGGCCAGAGTAGGGATTCAGACTAACCCGGTCTATGGTCTCCTTTATGTCTCTCCTCTGCTGGATTTCCTGTTTCCTGTATCCCTTGCCTGTGCTTTATTATTAGACAGGCACATTAACCAGCTAAGCCGCGGTGCCGGCTGTCTGTGCTTTATTGATTTACTTACTATTTTCAGAGGAGCGCCCATCCATTGACTTCCTGAGAAACGTGCTTAGGAAATGGGTTTTTGAGATTTGTGACCAAAAAAATATCTGTAGCATACCCTCATACTTAATGGATAATTTGGTCATAAAATTCTAGGTTGAAAATAACTTTCATTTAAATTTTTAGACATTGTTTTTATTGTCTTATTGCTTCTCATGTTTTTTTATTTATTTATTTTTTTTGATACAGAGTCTCACTCTGTTGCCCTGGCTAGAGTGCCGTGGTGTCAGCCTAGCTCACAGCAACCTCAAACTCCTGGGCTCAAGCAATCCTCCTGCCTCAGCCTCTCAAGTAGCTGGGACTTACAGGCATGTGCCATCATGCCTGGCTATATATATATATATATATATATATATGTAGTACTTTTTTGTTGTACAGCTAATTTCTATTTTTTTTAGTAGAGATAGGGTCTCGCTGTTGCTCAGGCTGGTCTTGAACTCCTGAGCTCAAACAATCCCCCTGCCTTGGCCTTCCAGAGTGCTAGGATTGCAGGCTTGAGCCACCGCGCCCAGCCTGCTTCTCATGTTGCTGTTGAGAGTCTGAGGCTTCTGGTTCTTAGTCTTTTTTGTGACTTCTTTTTTCCTTCTGGAAACTTACAGGATCCTCTCTTTGTCCCAAGTGTTCTACCATTTCACAATAATGAGAGGAGGTATAGGTCTGTTTTTGCCCATTATTTTGGGAACTCATGTCCTTTTATTATGGGAAATACTCTTGAATTACATCTTTGAATTTCTCCCCTATTTTCTCTGTTATCTCCTTCTGAACCTTCTATTACTCAGATAATGGATATCCTGGACTGGTTTTCTAATTTTGCTTTTTTTTTTTTTTTTTTACTACTATTTCCCATCTTATATTTTTGTTCTGCTTTCAGAATGAGAATTTGCCTCAATTTTACTTTCCAATCCTTCTATTGAGTTTTAAAATTAACATTTTTAATTTCCAAGAGCTTCAGGATACTTCTTTTTATAGCATCTCATTCATAATTCAAGATTGTGATATTATCCCTTAATATCCCTTTGGGAATGGAATATTAATGGTAGAACTCCCCCCACAAGTTTGTTTCCTCCAAGTGGCCATTTTGGTCTCTCTCATATCAGACCTTTCCTCAGATGCTTCAAAATTCTATTGATATTTAAGGAGAGGGATCCAAAAAGCTCAATGGGGTTTATTGATTGTGAGCTTGAATGAAGGGTGATCTGGTTGCCCAGTTGAGTTGGGAAACCTCTGATGTCAGCTGCTCTGCTTTTCAGGCTAGTCAGATTCCCTAGAACAGTCTTTCCAATATCCTGCCTGGAAGGTGAATGCGCCTCTTGCCAGCATTCTGGGAGCTGAGTAAGGGGAGAGGTCATGGATCTTAGCACCTATATGCTCATGTTTGTTTAATTTATTATAGGTTTAGTAGTTCTGCCCTCAACTGGTATCCCCTAGTCCAGAGATCCTGTAGTTTATGCTTCAGAGACTTGATCTTAAATTTTCCTTGAGGTCGAGCACGGCATGAGGGAGAGGATCTGGGTTTCTGACTGCCTTTTAAGTAGGTTTTCAATCTTTCTTTTTTTTCATTATTTTTTTTTATTTCGGCATATTATGGGGGTACAGATTTTAAGGTTTCAATAAATGCCCATTTCCCCCCCTCCCCCCACAAGTCTGAGTCTCCATCATGACCATCCCCCAGATGGTGCACATCTCACTCATTATATATGTATATACCCGCCTCCCTCCCCCCTCCCACCTGCCCAATACCCTATTACTGTAGTACCTATGTGTCCACTTAGGTGGGTTTTCAATCTTTCTTATTTTAGTACCCTCTTTACCTTTACTCCCAAAGGCTAGGTGGTGCTACCAATTTCTCAACATTTGGAGGAATTTAAATCTGATTGGCTCTTGGCTTTTCCCATGACTCTTGTAAAATTCCGTTTCCGCAGGTCTCCTAAGTCATTAATCCTCAATCTCTTGCTTTCCAGCTTCTAAAATGTTATTGCCCTTGTCTGTTCTCCTGTTCTCCCTTTTCTTGTGGGTTATATCTTTTAAAAAAATCATTTACTGTTGTTTTAGTGAAGTTCAGGGAGGGAGAAAAAATACATGTATATGCTTATTCTGCTATCTTTACTGGAAATCTTTGTTTTTTTCTAAGCCAATTTGATCTCTCTTTTGAGCTCACATTCTCCTGAGTAGTGGGAGAGTACTCACTGTGTCAATTGGGATGTCCTCAGTCACTTTAAGCCTCCCTCCTCCTTAGGTTTGCCTCTAAGTTCTGGGCTGCTTATATAGGACCATAGGGTCAGCTGGGGATCAGAGTGGATGGGGGGGTGGGGGATAGCTTTGATTGTCATCATGTAGTCACACTAGTATCCATGGCAACCACTCAGCATTCATGTGGCCCCTGGTGAGTAGTCTGTGGAGATCATGTCTACAATCTTTCCATCCCAACTCTAGATGTCCAGGTTTGCAGGCTCTCAGCAGCATGCTGGTGTGTGAGCAGACTTGATGAGGCAGGCTCAGGCCTGTCCATCCATGTGGCTGTCTGTCCTCCTGCCTCTGCACGATGGGGACATGAGAGAATTTTGTGACCTTGCCTACTCTTGGCTCCCAAATCTTTCTGAAACAATACTGTTTCCCTGCACAGGGGACTCAGCACGCTTGAGTCAATTGTTGATGCATCAATTTTATGTCTTAAGTCTCTCCCAGTTCTAAATTCTGAGGTATAAAAGCTCAGGTTATGGAATCTCAAAAGTCATTTCTCCGAAACTGTCATTTCTGCCTATCGTTTTAGAAACTATCATTTCTAAAACCTATTTAGAAACTCAAAAGTCCATAGTTCATTTCCCCCTAATTTTCCATGATGATATTCTGAAGCTTTAAAGGTGGAATGCCATAGGTACAGCCTGGGTAGGGCTAGGTTAAGGGGAGTCAGGAAGTAACTGCATCACTATTAGGCCTTTATGATTAACTCATTTTGCTCTGTTCATTATGACCTTCTCATGTATGCAAGATTTGCCTTTTTTGGCCGGGCACGGTGGCTCACGCCTGTAATCCTAGCTCTCTGGGAGGCCGAGGCGGGCAGATTGCTCAAGGTCAGGAGTTCGAAACCAGCCTGAGCAAGAGCAAGACCCCGTCTCTAAAAAAAAAAAAAAAAAAAAAAAAAAGATTTGCCTTTTCACCTGGATGTTAGGTTTGTTGAAGGCAGAACTGCACTTAGAAAGCCTTTTTTAAGCACAGATTTGCTGAAGACCTTTAGCTTTGTAGCCTAGAATATAATAAATATTTAAATAATATTTAAATAATAGATACATTTGCTAAATAAATCTGGAATAGTTTCAAAAAAGAAAAATAAACATTTACAATATTACCCTTATACAATTAAAAAAAAGGAGAAACAAATTTACCTGAGAAATAATAACTACATGAATGTAAAAAAGATGCTAAAATTTAAATTTAAGAAAGGACCTTTATGTATGGTTAAAAAATAATCCTTCTTTTCTGATTTGACTTTTCAATTTCAGGCTCAAGGTGACAGGTCCTGGGTTTTAGAAGCCCGGCCCTCAAGGCCCAAGACCAAGTTTCCTCTCCTGTTGTCCCAGTGCCAGGAATGCCAGTGCATTCCTTTTTCAGAAAATGCAGCTGCTGGTTTCTAGCCTATTCTAGCCATTCCAGACTCCAGTGAGAACTGCTGAGGGTGGAGAGGGGGAGGCAGGGGTAGGGAAAGCCCATAATCAGGAAAGCTCCTAGTAACTAGGGTAGAGATAAACACATTAGTTGGGCACAGAAACATTTCCAGGACATATTGTGAGAAATGGGAAGGTTAAAGAAAAAAATCCATTCTGGGCCTCAAAGGTCGGAGAGGCTTTGTAGTTCTTCATGATGTATTGAATGTTATTATGAATTAATTTCACACCATGCCATTGTTGTCAATTATTTAATTCAAATGAACAAATTAACGATTTTTTTTTTTTTTTGAGATAGAGTCTCGCTTTGTTGCCTGAGCAAGTGCCGTGGGGTCAGCCTACCTCACAGCAACCTCAAATTCCTGGGCTCAAGCGATCCTCCTGCCTCAGCCTCCCAAGGAGCTGGGACTATTGTGCAACCCTACCACAACCAGCTAATTTTTTCTATTTTTAGTAGAGATGGAGTCTCGCTCTTGCTCAGGCTGGTCCCAAACTCCTGGGCTCAAGCGATCTTTCCTCCTCGGCCGCCCAGAGTATTAGGATTACAGGCGTGAGCCACTGGCCCACGAATTAACAAATTTCTTTTGAGTCTCTCCAAAATGCAAATAACTGTGCTCGCTCCTAGAGATAAAATACAAAGATAAGTAAGATACAGCTCTCATTTTCAGTAGAACTTGCCACAAGTTTCCTCATTATTCTTCTCATAACTCACTAGTCATGTTGCTCTCTAATCTGCAACTTCTCAGTCACTATTCATCTCCTATAGGGCAGAATGCAAATGCCTGACTCCCAAGGCTCTTCATGATCCAATTCCAGCCTATTTTCACAGCCACTTCTGCTGGTGCTCAGCTTCTTGGTATGTGGTGAATAGCGCATGCCACCATGTTCTCTTCTAACTCTGTGCCTATGGCTGGAACTCCTGCTTACTCTTTGCCATTCAGCTGAAATGTTGCTTTCCCTATGACACATCCTGTGACTTCTTCCTCTTTGCTGCAGGCTAAGTTAGGGGCCCCTCCTCTGTACTTCCTTTGTGTCTATCACTGTTATGATCCTCAGTGACGTAATACTGGAATTGTTTGTATCCAGTTTATTTCCTCCCACAGTGGGAAACTTCCTGAAGGATGGGACTGTGTCATTTTCATCTCAGAATCTCCAGCACATGCCACAGTCCTGGTACACAGCAGGCACATAATCACTAATGGTTTGGTGAATGAATGAAATGAATTCGTTCATTTCCCTATACTTTGTTGCTATAGCAACTGCCAATTTTTAAAATTCCAGTCTGCTTTTTCTCCATTTTTACTCATCAACTTTCTTTCCAGAATGCTGTCAGAAGGATACCTCAGTGGACTTGCCTACTGGAATGACATCCACTGGAGTTGTACATCATATAATGAGCAGGTGGCTGGAAACAGGGAAGAGGAGACAAATTCTGTTGCTGCTCTTTCTTATTCCTCTGTGGATGAAACACAAGTCAGAAGTCTCTACGTGAGTTGCAAATCCTCTGACGAGTTTATTTCTTCAGTGCATTCAAGAGAGAGCCAACGCAGCACAAGTCAGAGAGTCACAGTGCTGCAGACAAACACCAATCCAGTGTTTGAAAGCCCAAACTTGGCTGCAGTTGAAATATGTAGAGACCCTAGCAGAGAGACCTACTTGGTTCCACCTTCCTGCAAAAGTATTTGCAAGAATTACAACGATCTACATATTGCTGGGGGCCAGGTGATGGCCATTAATTCAGTGACTACAGATTTTCCCCCTGAAAGCAGTTTTGAATATGGCCCTTTGCTAAAGTCATCTGAGATTCCTTTGCCTATGGAGGATTCCATTTCCACTCAGCCCAGCCACTTTCCCCAAAAACCTATCCAGCGGTATTCATCCTACTGGAGAATAACCAGCATCAAAGAGAAAAGCAGCCTGCAAATGCAGAAGCCTATTTCTAATGCAGTGTTGAATGAGTACCTAGAGCAGAAGGTCGTGGAGTTATATAAACAGTACTTTATGGACACCATGTATCATGACAGTTCTCCTACCCAGATTCTGGCGTCTGAACTCATCATGACCAGTGTGGACCAAATCAGTCTTCAAGTGTCCAGAGAGAAGAACCTGGAGACCTCAAAAGCCAAAGATATAGTCATTAGCCGCCTATTACAGTTGGCGTCAACTGAAATCAGCACTCCTAGTCTCCATATTTCTCAGTATAGCAATGTAAACCCATAGAGAGTGTGCTTCCATTCCTGTCTCTCATTTACTCAAACCCAAAGCAACACTTTGTTCATTGATTCTGAGAATGTGCAGGAGGGGGTGGTGAAGGGGTGTTAAGAGTTTAAGAAGTAAAGGTCGGCTGAAAGTCATGTGTGAATTAAAGGGAAATCTCATAGTAGTACACATGTTGAAGGAATGTGGGAAAAGGAGCCATAAGGAATGATTTCAAAGAGAGGTTTGTACAGCAGTGAAGCAAAAATAAAAATGATCAAAAAAGAAAAGGTTATGATTCATTCGAAAGAGTATAGAAACTGAAAAAGAAGATAAGCCAAGTAAGAAAGAAACACACTATGGCAAAACTAAAAAAACCAAAAGGTTTCAGGGTAAAGAGTTAAAAATATGCTTGTTACCCAAATAAATTTCTCCAAGTTGTTTCTTCTCAAGGGCAATGGACTGTAGAGGGCTGCTATATTTGGGTAGAAAGACAGGTTCAAAACATTTAAAAAATATTTGTTTATATTTCTTATCTATTCTGTATCAGTAGATCATTGAAAGATATATTCTTTGTAAATATTAAAACTGCAGCAAGTTGCAATTGTGTTTTTATTTTTGTATGATTGTCTAGCTACAGCTACAGCCACAAAACAGCCACTCAAATCTTCTACTTCTGTTTACCAGTGGAGATGTAGTTTTCTAAATGGAAAACACCACATAGTAAACATTAAACCATTTAGTTTTATTTTGCTGTGTATGATTTTCTTGGTAGTACTAAGCTTCAAAGGAAATGATGAATCTTATTTTTCCCATTTTTTTCTCTTCCTTTTCTCCATGCCCTCTTGACCTGGGTCCAGGAAGGGGTCTTTCATAACCTCAGAATTAGGTTACAAGCCCTAAGGTCCCATTACATCAAATTCTGTAAACTCATTCACTAGAATGGTGGCTTCACAAAGGCTTCACTGCTCTGCCCTTTTCCTCTAGCTCAGGGGTTGGCAAACTATGGCCCATTGGCCAAAAGTAGCCTGCTGCCTGTTTTTGAACTCCCGTGAGCTAGAAATGGTTTTTCCATTTTTAAATGGTTGCAAAAAAAAAAAAATTAGAACAGTATTTTGTGACATGAAAATTATATAAAATTCAAATTCAGCATCCATAAAATAAAGTTTTATTGGAACACAGCCATGACCATTTGTTATGTATGGCTGCTTTCCCAGTAGAATTGCAGACTTTAGTAGATGTGACAGAAAACATATGGCCCACCAAAGCCTAAAACCCTTATTATCTGGCCCTTCACAGGAGAATTTTTCCCACCCAGCTTCATAGGAGTGCCTTGTCCGTATAGTGGTTGCTTGACTTAATTCAGGTTCACTGGGGAAGTGGACTCTGAGACAAAGATTGGTGAGTAAGTTTCTTCATCTTCTTCTTTTTTTTTTTTTTTTTTTTGAGACAGAGCCTCACACTGTTGCCCGGGCTAGAGTACCATGGCGTCAGCTTAGCTCACAGCAACCTCAAACTCCTGGGCTCAAGCAATCCTCCTGCCTCAGCTTCCCAAGTAGCTGGGACTACAGGCACACACCACCATGCCCGGCTAATTTTTTCTATATATTTTTAGTTGTCGAGCTAATTTCTTTCTATTTTTAGTACAGCTGGGTTCTCGCTCTTGCTCAGGCTGGTCTCGAACTCCTGAGCTCAAAAGATCCTCCGGCCTTGGCCTCCCACAGTGCTAGGATTACAGGCATGAGCCACCATGCCCAGCTGAGTAAGTTTATTGAGCAGTGGTCTTGGGATTAACGTCTATGATGGAGTGAAGGAAGCAGAAGAGGTTCATAGAGAGGCCTCAGCCCATCTCACAGGGAGCTCCGGAGCTAGGTATTCCTTCAAAATGGTTACAAACTGAAACAAGAGGTGGACTTTTGTACTCCAGCATCTACTAGGAGGGGGTGTAATTTTAGCTGAGGCAGTTCCGTGGCGAACAATTCCCAAAGTGGGAATCAACTGTGAGTTCTCAGCAACTGTATTCCAAGCAACTGCTGGAGGGATGAGCTCATCACCCCGAAGGAGCCATATGGTTAGAGCAATCCTCTATGTTTCTCAGTATTTGTATTTGCAGAGTGAAGGAATATGCATTTTTTGAATATTTTTTTACAACATATACTATTGTGTAAGAAAACTTAATTTTGAAATCATTATTAAAAATGTTATTCATTGCTTTAAATATATCACAATAATAGCTGCAATGTATCATTTGTTTATTATGTGTCTAGCATATGTTAAGCATTTTGCATGAATTATCTTACGTAATCCTCGTAATAACCTTATTAGAGAGAAAATCAATTATAATTCCCTTTTTACAGATGAACCAGCTGGGCTCAGGGAAGTCAATTTGTCCAAGGGCACATAGTAGATGGTAGAACTGGGTTTGAACTGCAAATGAGATAATGGATCTCTTGATATAACCTGTGGTAACTTGTGTCCACTGTTGACCAATAGTCTATGACTTGAAGGTCATCCACCAATTCCCACCTTGCCCTCCATCATTTCTTAGCGTTGCATGAGATTCCAGGTCTGTGACACAACCCTGGGAAGGACTGGAGAAACTGAGTATTATTGAAGTAAAATTTTCTGCCACTGTGGGAGAATGGAGATTAGAATTCAGAAATTTAGTTGTAAAGAAAAAAAAAAGAAAAGGAAAGAAAAGAAAAGAAAGAAAAAAAGAAAGAGAAAATAAAAGAAAGAAAGGAAGGAAGGAGAAGGAAGGAAGGAAGGAAGGAAGGAAGGAAGGAAGGAAGGAAGGAAGGAAGGAAGGCAGGAAGGCAGGAAGGAAGGAAGGGAGTGTTATTAATTATACTCTTGAGTTTGTGGAGAAGTTGAAGTTATAGGAATCAGGCTCCTACTCCTCTGCCCTATTTGTGGAATAACCCAAAGACAGAAACCTCCAACTTCTGAAGTAACATTGTGAAGTAACCTCTCAAGTAGCATTATGAGGACCAGTAAGAAGCTAGGTTTAGACCTAGTCTCATGAACAGGAGCTAAGGGGAGGAGGCAATAGAAATAGAAACATTTCTCCCCTCCCCCACACTTTCCCTTCCTCTTTTCATTCCTCTCTTCTCCTCTCCTCTCCTCTCCTCTCCTTTTCTCTCCTCTCTTCTTTTCATTCCTCTCCTCTCCTCTCATCTTCTCTCTCTCCCCCTTTCATCATTCTCTTCTGTTGTTTCTTCCCTTTAGTCTCTTTCTCTCTCTCTCCCTCTCTCACCATCCTTTTTCTTCCTTCTCCCTCCCTCCTCCACTTCCCCTCCTTTCCTTCCCTCCTTCCTTTCCTTTTATTTTTCCTCTCTACTTTTCTCCCCCCCCTCTATTTCTGTCCCTATTTACATGGTGAAATGATAATTTCGGAAATTTCAAAAATATTTCTCCATTTTATCTGATGAAATGTTCATAAGCAGTTAATTCATATATATTGCATAAAAGAAATTCAGATAGTGAAGACAGCTCACTTAAGCATCCCCTTGCCTTCCAGTTTCCCTGCTATCAAGGCTCATGATACTCTACACCAGGGGTCCTCAAACTACGGCCTGTGGGTCACATGCGGCCCACCAAGGACATTTATCCTGCCTGCTGGGTGTTTTTGCCACCGCTGCCTGTCCTGCTTAGCAGCCGACTCATCCTAGGCCCACAGTGCGCATGTGTGGAATGTGCGGCCGCACTCTCCAACGGCCCTCCAACGGTCTGAGGGACAGTGAACTGGCCCCCTGTTTAAAAAGTTTGAGGACCCCTGCCTATGCTTATACAAATAGATAGACTCATATTTTTAAACAAGTGGTATTGCACTATTCTGTCCTTGCTTTTGTTACTTAACTATACACATTTCCATAGGAAGGGGTGCTTTAGAAGGTTTGAATAACACACACTCTGTGAGGAGGATGCCCTGAAAGCATCTAGATTTTTCTGGGATGGGAAATATGGAGACCTACATAGAGAAACATCAGTACAGGAGAAATGATTAACACCATCTCCTTGTAAGCCATATCTCTCTCAAGGAAAAGAATATTCACACCAAATAAATAAGCCTTTTTATTTTTTAGGCACTTAGTGTTACAGGGTATATAGTTCAATTGAAACACATGGGTATTATGACAGATTGACATTGGTTCATCAACAAACTCCTTATCTATGATCCACAAATTCCATACTGTATTCTCATCTAGCTCTTATTCTCTATCTTAGCTACAAGGATATTGTGTTAGTTAATGTGTTATTATGTGTCAACTTGACTAGGCCACAGGGGTGTCAAGATAGTCCAGATAGACACACTCAAACATTACTCTGGGTGTGTCTGTGAGGATGTTTCTGGATGTGATTAATATTGAAATTGGTAGACTGAGTAAAGCAGATTGCCTTTTCTAATGTGGATGGGCCTCACCCAATTAGTTGAAGGCTTGAATAGAACAAAAAGGATTACCCTCCCCCAAGTGAGAGAGAATTTCTCTTGCCTGTCTTTGAACAGGGACATTTATTTATTTAATTTATTTATTAATTTATTTCTTTTGAGACAAAGCGTTGCTCTGTTACCCAGACTAGAGTACCATGGCATCAGCCTAGCTCACAGCAACCTCAAATTCCTGGGCTCAAGGGATCTTCTTGCCTCAGCCTCCCGAGTAGCTGGGACTATAGGCATGCACTACCAGGCCCAGCTAATTTTTCTATTTTTAGTAGAGGCGAAGTCTCACTCTTGCTCAGGCTGGTCTCGAACTCCTGACCTCAAGGGATCCTTCTGAATCAGCTTCCCAGAGTGCTAGGATTACAGCTGTGAGCCACCACACCAGGCCTGGGACATTGTTTTTTTCCTGCCTTTGTACTCAAACTGAAACAACAGCTCCTCCTGGGTCTTGAGTCTGCCAGCTTTCAGACTGGAACCACACTCAGCAGCTCTTGGGATTTGTCACCTTTCGTAATTGTGTGAGCCAATTCTTTATAATAAGTCTATCTATCTGTCTGTTATCTGTCTATGCTATTGGTTCTGTTTATCTAGAAAACTCTAATAGAAATATTAAAATTATGACATTTTCCAGATGCCTTCATGAAAACAAGACACATTTAAGTCTATGGCCTCTTCTTGAGCTATCAGCTTAGTGACCCTATCAAAAAGCACAATGAGCTTGGTGTGGCATAACTGATTCTTATTGTGCCACTCAATGATTAGTCCTTGTTTGGAGGTACTCACCCAATATCCTTTTAACAACCTGTTTAGATTTTCTCTTGATGAATGCCAAATTCAGGTTGTATATTTTTCAGTTCTTACCTGTATCCCACACTTAAACAAATTTGGACATTTAGTTTCTCTAAACTTCTGACACTTCCCTCATTCTTCCTTATACATGGAGGAGGATTGAAGTGGTTGAGCCATCATATTGGTTAAGAACTGATAACAACTTGGATGGTAATGTGCCTCAGTTTGGAGACTTTAATTCATTGAAAGTGGCTTCAAGTATACATACATACATAATTTTGTATACATACAAATATTTTAGTATTGCAATATTTTAGTATTACTTTTAGTGTTGCAAATATTTTTTAAGAATTTTTTTTTCAACTTCCTCTGATTGGAAGATCATACTTCCAAATATAGTTAAACTATATGTTCAAGGTACTTTAAGTTACATCTGTTTGTTTTAATATAGACTTGATTATAATGATTTTATCAGGTGAGAGGGAGACAGTGTATTCATGTACTGGCACGTGAAACTGAAATCACATTGTGGAAACACAAGCAGGAAAGCAATGTTTCCATTTTAACCAATATCATGTGGTGCAAGTAAAAATAGATGGGATAGCAACTATCTTCTTATGTTAAGAAGAAACATCACTTTTATGATAAATGACACAGATCAAACAAAAATAAATATATGACATTCTGAAAATATTTAGAGCCAACACTAAAATAGACTTCTCAAAATTATTAAAAAACATGAAGGCACGGTTGCTAAGAAGTTTTGACCCACTGCCATCAGTCCTCCTGGGCCACAGTTTCCCAATAAAGAAGT